CACAGTGGGTACCTAGTCTTCTACCAAGGGGAAAGAGGGCCACCTAGAAGCTCAAACTTCACCTGCGTGAACCTACTTACGTAACAAAACCTCACTTGTACCCCACAATTCTAAAATTTTAAAAATACAAACAAAAAAACTAAAGCCCCACACTAGTAGGTATTACTTATAAGTGATAAATTTTTCTACATTAGTCATTCATCAACTATTTATTGAACATTATTTTGGGCTAGGTACTGTGTTACGTATATGTAGTTACAATTGTTTTTCATATAATCGTCTGGTGTTTGCTTAACTAATTTTTATATTGCACTTACAGAGAACTTGAAAGTATTTTTACATTTTATCTTCTTTACACAATCATAAAAATATGTATAGTGTTTTTGTTTTGTTTTGTTTTGTTTTTGAGTTGGAGTCTCACTCTGTCACCCAGACTGGAGTGCAGTGGCCGCTCCCGGCCACCGCAGCCTCGACCTGCTGGGCTCCGGCAATCCTTCCGCCTCAGCCTTCCAAGTAGCCGGAACTACAGGCGCGCTACCACGCCCGGCTGATTTTTTGATTTATTGTAGAGATGAGGTCTCGCTGCCCAGGCGGGTCTCGAACCCGCGGGCTCAGGCAATCCACTCACCTCAGCCTGTATAGTGTTTTTAAATGTTTTCTCAAATATTATTTTTGCTTATTTCATGCTGTGAGGTCATAAGATGAACTCCTTAGTATATATTCTAAGATTTTTTTCTGTTCCAATGTTCCAGTTTATAAATGCTCTTTCACAAATATAGTATACATAAAATGAAAATAGCTTATTGTTCGCCCTGCGTTTCCTGAGGAGAGAAGCTCTCTGGGGATCTTTGGCATTGCTGAAAAGAAAGTTCCTCATGTATGAATTTGGAACTAAGGGAATCTCCACAGGAAACCCCAGCTGTCAAAAAGATCCTTATATGCTTGGCCTGCAAACGAAGTGGTCAAGAAGATGGCTCTGGGGGTAAAACTGAGTTCTGTACCCTGTTGTGACACTTTTTAGCTGTGTCTGTCTTGGCAACACACCTAACCTTGCCAAACCTCAGTGTTCTTATCTGGTCATTGGGAAGGATGAAAGATTGTGCTTTGTAGGTTGCCCATGCAGACCTGAGGCATACAGGAAACACTCTGGATGGTAATTCCGAGGCCATTCTGATCAAGGGGCATATTCCTTCTATTCTGTCCTTTATCTAGTCCTAGAAGGGAACCTGTGTGGTCATGGTGTATTATTCACATTTTAGTGGACAGAGCACTGATTAGATTTGCCTCAAAGAGAGGACTCAGTATTCCACAGTTGTCTTTCTTAACATGATGTGAGTTACTTCTTTGAAGGGGGTGAAGAAATTCTGAGTATTTGCATCTCCAGTAGAATCTTCAAGGACAAAACCACATCTACAGTGGAATTCCAGTTCTCCCATAAAGCAAGTTTCCAGTTTGACATGAGCGTACATATAGTCTCTTGGTTTTTTTCTCCATTCCTTTTTCTCCCAGCCAAAGTAGATGATCTTCTGTCCTCTAATTTGATTGTCAGGTAACATGTGAGTGATTTTTCTTCATGAGATGAGAGAGTTGTTTCTTGTATATAGAAAATTGAGATAATTGCCCATAACCCCAGGCTATGGGGGCCCAGTGTCACGATGAGAACTAGGAAGCTGGACGTGACTTTGTAACAGATGGTAGGTAAGAAGCTAATGCCGATGTGGGAGAAATTGGAGAAGAGAAAAAAGGACTGAGCTTCCAGGCTAAAATAGAAATTAACCCTCTCCATTCTCAGGATATAAATATTACTCTTTAGTGTGGATCAAATATTGTTAAATTTCAGTAAGTGAGTATGATATTGTAATATGGTATTGAAACCTATTGGTTTCATTCACAATCAGAGGGCTTAAAGGGACTCATGTTTGGGAATATTGGCAGTATAACAAATATTTGGTTACCAAACATGATAATGACAATGAAGATTTATTTAATTTGTTATGATAAACTTATTTATGATTTATACTATATGATCGTGCTTTCTCTATACTTAAGTCACACAGAGATAGGAGTTTATGTATCAGATAAATTTAAACTGTGATGCATGTAAAGAACATGCTGTGAATCTCTAATTATGTTAAAATTATTTTCTTAGTGCTGCATAATACTCATTATATACTCTACACATTTAGTTTTTGAATAGATTCCTGGTATGATAATTACATAATCATTCAATACAGTAGAGACATCATTATGGTCCAATACTAATTAGCTACTAAAATGAAACAAAATAGAGCCTAGTTCACAGTTTACTATAAAAAGTGATTTAATGTGGTACAAAACCAAATATATGGTTAAAATTACTATTTGTATTAGGCATGAGTCATTTTTTTTTTTTCATGAGAAGGAATCTGGATGTTTATTGCCTAATTTACTTCTTGGGCTCATATTGCATTGTGCTGTCCCAGCCTTCATGGCCAGTTTTGTGTGGTGGAGCATCTCAAGAACATACCAGCAGGGATTCTCGACTTAGTGTGCTACAGGAGCCTGCGTGTGCCTCAGGGCTTCTGTAGAATCAGGAATTTGGCCCAAGTCTTCAGCCACAGTTTTCTCAAGTTCTTAAATAGTAGTAGCTCTGTAAGCCTTTGGGAACCTGGGTTTCGGTAGTAAATCACTCATTTCTGGGGTTCTGGTTTTTGGAACATCTTTGGTGCAGAGCATGAGTGACCTTTCACTGTGTTTCTTCCCCCGGTATACCTTAGGAGTATAGTACAGTCCCATGGGTAACAATGGATCCTGGCAGTTGGGATTCTCCAGGTGTGTTTGTGATGGGAGAATAGTCAGGCAAAATGTAAGCTCTGACAGAGAGCTGTGGGAGAGTGCAAGTAGGTTGACAAATCCCTCAGGTAAGTCTGCTGAGCACACCACTCAAGGGACATCACCCTTACCCTCTGAGAATTGCTTTTGTGGATTAAATGGAGTTTTATCTAGTATGAGGAAGTTTAATTGCTCTTTGTTGATATATTTGTGATTATGTGATTTCATTTATTCATCTCATATATACATATGGAATCTCAATGAGCATAAGTGGTATGTTAGGTCTTGTTATCCTGATGCCTGCTATAAGCCTAATAGGAATTTTAGACATTCATATTGTCACATTGTCACCTTTGGTATCTCAGAATATTGTTTAAATCATAAATTCTTCTTCTGATGAGCAATTTGTATATGTCAAAAGTTTTATAGATTTTGTGTTATATTCCCTTTCTTTTCCTTCATTCTTTCTTGTTGTTTGTCACTTTAGTTTTCGCCCCTGTAGGTATTCGTTTTATTTCTTAATGAACAGTTGTAATGCAGTTGAAAACAAAAGTATATAAGGAACATATGCAGAAGGAACACTGATAGTCTTTCTGATGCATAACAACAAACATGCTAGCTTGGTTCTACCATCTATAGCTACTGTGTGTCAGGGGAGAGGCACATATCTGACTATTCAGTCCTGTGTTCCTCACAGTTACAGAATTGTACAGGAAAACAAAATATTTCAGATATGCACTAGTTTGAATCAGTGACTTATATTATTAAGTCAAACATCCTTTGATGTATTTGAAGATAATATGATGCAAATTGATTATAAAATATAAAATCATAAATTTTACAAAGGATATGGTTTTATGAAGTGTGCAATGTGATGGTTTAGAACGTTTCTACTCACAGGCAAAGCCATGAAAACAGTGAGGGTCTGGTAGTTATGCTAGTGAGAAAAATCAAAGATGTTGGATGCTTCAGCTGAGAATTATTTAAATATCAGAAGTGATAGAAAACTTTAGGAAAAATGAAGTCCTTAAATATTTTTAAAATATAGTTATGTTTAAAACCATTGTTTAAAAATTAAATGTTATGTGAAGGATGTCATAATGTACTAGTATAAAATATTGGAAAAAGTGTGCCAAAATCCCAGTTCATTTATTTTTGTGCTCAGACTAGAAAATGTACATAGTTTCAAATATTACTTAAAATTATTTTAATAGTTTATATTTTCCTTTTTCTGCCAATCAAATATTTTTTCACTATTATTTATTATAAAATGTTGGACCCTATTATAAGTGGATTTGCTTCAAGTGACCTTTTTTAGAATTGAGTTTCTTTTTTGTTTGTTTATTTTTTTTGAGCTGGAGTCTCACTGTCACCGAGACTGGAATGCAGTGGCATGCTCCCGGCTACCTCAGCCTCCACCTGCTGGGCTCCACCAATCCTTCCTCCTCAGCCTTCCTAGTAGCTGGAACTACAGGAGTGCGCTACCTCGCCTGGCTAATTTTTGATTTATTGTAGAGACGAAGTCTCACCAAGTTGCCTGGGTGGGTCTCAACAATTGCCGCGGGTTCAGGCAATCCACTCGCCTTGACCTCCCAAAGTGCTGGGATTATAGACTGAGCCACCAAGCCCAGCCAGAATTGACTTTCTTGGACAATAAGAGCCCCTTGTGTATAAAATACATTGTGAATTATGTGATTCTGCATATATAGCCCTGCATTTTTCCCCTGTGTTTTAGTGGTCTAAAATGCATGTCAGATTTTTAACTGAAATTAATTGTGGCTAAACTACAAATAGACAACATTATGATTTTTTTTTTATTAAGTGAGATTAGACAGGAATCAAGGTATTCGTTTCATGGAGCTGATTCTTTTAGACAGATGAGTAAAATCATATTTGTATGACTTTTTCTGGGCTATGGATAAGGCTTTATTACAAATCTGTTAATGCCTTCTATTTATAAAGCATTTATTTTTAGAAAGTGCTTTTAAATAATTATTTCATTACCCTTTGTACTGTATGATAATTGTTGTGATAAAATTGCCAGTTCTCTGAAAGTTCTTGCAGAATGTTCCTGTTAAATCTTCTCCATGAGTTGGTTCTGTGACTGTCTATGAACTGAAATATTATAAAGAATATGGAAGAGGTAAAAATATTTTGAGATCCCATTAGTGATGTAGTTGTTCTTGCAGGTACCTTGTGGTCTATAATCCTCTAGAACAAGACCGAATCTCGGTGGTCTCAGTCTATGTAAGTTCCCCCAATGTGCAAGTGCTCTCTGCTTCGGGAAAACCTATAGAAGTTCAAGTCAGTGCAGTTTGGAATACAGCACATGTTGTTTCAGAAACAGCGTATGAGGTATGTTGTGGCCATAGAACTTAAAGAGGCATCGTAAAGCAAGCAAAGCTATCATAGAGTTCATGCATGTATAATAGCCCCAGTTGAGCCATCCTGTTGGTGAAAGTTGTAAATACCAGAGTTTAACTGGTCAGTTAAGTGACACTAAAGGAAAATAGATCCTCTATTTTCCAGAATGTTAAATATCTTTGTTTATATATATAGTATATGTTATTAGTACGTGTTATTAGTATGTATCTGTATATCTTTGTAAGAATGTATACTGTTAACTTTATTCTAAAGTAATGAAGTAATTATTACTCATACAGTTTTGAATTATTTGGTCTAACTAAATTTAATGGCAGTTATGTATATTGAAATTGAGATAAATACTACCCTTAATCATTTTGGAGAGTTTCAGTTTTTCATTGACTGTCCTACAATAATTAAGATGCTTATTTTCTGAGACATAATTTTGGAAAATCTCTGCTCAAGTAATAGATATTTTTTTGTGTCAAAGTTTCTTAAAATAAGAAATATTTAACTGAGCACTATATTATTAGAGAGGTTAAACTTTTAGAGTCTGGAATGTAATTTAAACTGTACTTCTGGAGAGGCAGCCATTAACTAGGAACTCTAAAATTGAATTGCTTCTGCTTGTCAAAAGCCATTGCTGGCTGCTCTTACTTATGCATAATCCTTTAGATAGAGAGGAAAAGTATAATGTAAGTTTTAGTTAGATTTTGCAGCAAGTATTCCATCTAGAAAATGGAGCAGTAGCTCCTGCAAGGCAGGGGTCATGTCTTCTGTTTTGTGCATATCCTGTGCCTTGTTTCACTGTCTGCTAAACTCCAAACATTTGATGATTGGTGCTGACTGCATGAATGAGTTTAATATTTATATTACATTTATAATTTTATACATACCGAAATATAATACTGCAAAAACATTTTTAATAGTTAGGAAAAATCATGATTTACAATAAGTCGTTATTCCTGGAGAATTTCCTTCCATTAAGAAGAGCACAGTAGAACAATTGAGGATGATCCTGTAATTTCACCTATTGGATAAGAGCATTAATGCTTTTGATAGGCCTATCAGCTTGAGTTTATTAGGAACTGAGATGTTATATTCTACCCATATTTATCTAAACATTTATAAAATAGTATTATACAGTCATTCCTCTATAGCTGCAGAGAACTTGTTCCAAGTCCCGTATATAAAATGGCATAGTACACATGATCCCTGACTTACTATAGCTTAACCTAATGATTTTTTTCAATTTTACAATGATGTGAAAGCAATACACATTCAGTAGAAACCACACTTTGCATACCCATATAACCATCTTGTTTTTCACTTTCAGTACAGTATTATATACTAAGTGCTCTCAACTGATATTATGTATCAATTACTTGAGATTCGGGTAATTTACACTTGATACACACTTCAGTATAAAATAAGCTTTATGTTAGATGATTTTGCACAACTCTAAGCTAATGTGAAGGTTTTGCAGGTGTTTTAAGGTAGGCTAGACTAAGCTGTGATTCTTGGTAGGTTAGATGTATTAAATGCATTTTTAACTCATGATAGTTTAAACTTGAAATGGGATGTAACCCCATAATAAGTTGAGAAGCATCTGTATTTGCATATAACCTACACCCATGCATATCCTCCCATATACTTTAAATCATCTCTAGATTACTTATAATACCTAATGTAGAGTAAATGTTTTTATTTGCATTTGTACTGTATTGTTATTTTTTATTATTTTTTTGAAATATTTTTGATCTGTGGTTGGTTGTATGGTTATGTGTAGAACCTGAGGATACAGAGGGCCAGCTATGTTCTCTTTTTAAAAAACATGGTAGGTTTTTGTTTTTACCAAAAGTATAAATGGTTTGCCTCTCAGTAGATAACCTTTGTCTTTAATAAATTCCCTTCTCTGTCTTTTAAAGATCTCTTTTCTAGCATATACACCGCCATTGGGAATAACAGTATATAAGATGTTGAACTCAGCAAATTCAAATTCCCATTTAGCTGATTATATCTTGTATAATGGTGAAGCAGAAGGTGGAGAAATTTTCAACGTGAAGAATATGATGAATGCTGAGGAAGCTATAACTCTAGAGAACTCTTTTATTGTGCTTTGGTTCAGTCAATCTGGGCTTATGGAGGTATGTTCTGAAATTCATAGAAGACTTATCACTTTTACTACAAGATGTGTAGACTAATTATTCAAAGGGGGAAAAATCTTCTTAAGTAGAACTGTACTAAAAAGTATGCATGAGTATCTATGTATACCTTCACTGAATACCTGCTGCTCACAGGTATGGTTTGTGTATGCTGCTGCTTTATTTGTTACTGGTCCATGAGATAAGTACAGAAATTTTAAATGTTCAGAAATGTTTATGGAAACTTTGAAAGTATTTAACAGAGCAAGACTCCTATTGAATCTAATTTTTCAAATTAAGTATTTGATATATCACTTTAAATTTAATTTTTAAATTTAATTTTTAATTCACTTTTATTATTCTTTAGAAAAATATTGGTGCATGCATATTAGAAAAAAAACGTAGCTGGTCTCGGTGGCTCAGCCTGTAATCTCAGCACATTGGGAGGCTGAGGCAAGTGGATTGCCTGAGCCCGTGGGTTTTGAGACCAGCCAGGGCAACTTGGCGAGACTTCGTCTCTACAATAAATAATTAGCCAGGTGTGGCAGTGCGCCTATAGTTCTGGCTACTTGGAAGGCTGAGGCAGAAGGATTGCCAGAGCCTAGCAGGTCAATGCTGAGGTGGCCGTGAGTGTGCTACTGCACTCCAGCCTGGGCTACAGAGTGAGACTCCAACTAAAAAAATCAACAAAGAAATAAGAAATAAAAGGTAAGCCTGTTTGTTTTACAGAGAGTCTGAAGAGCACTGTCTGGAGCTCCTGATTCATATATCTCTCTGTTCCTTGATGAGTATGTCCACGCTTTTTTTCCTATTATGAAGGCTTTTAATTTTGAGGCTAAGTATAAACTTTGGGTGTTCAACCAAGAATTGTTGGCATTTGAGACTCAAATTAGTATTTTTAATCTATCCTGAGATTATTTTTTGTCCTACACACGGAACAAGATACAACATGATTAACATCTTAATGATGAGTTACTTTGAAAAATTTTTTTTGTCTTTAGAAAATGATGACTAAAGAAGACGGTAAACACCATGAAGTAAGCGTGCAGTTTTCATGGTATGGAACCACAAGTAAAAGAGACAAAAGTGGTGCTTACCTCTTTTTGCCAGATGGTATTGCCAAGGTAAGTACCAACTGATGAGATGACAAGTGGAATAAATACTTATTGAAGGAGTATTGAGGGGAAAAAATGTGTCCCATTTTACAATCAGTTCATCAGTTAGGAATCTATGAGCTTTTGGTTTTGACTTTGTATCACCTTATTGTCGCTTAGCAATTTGTAGTTGAAACTTAGATAAACAGATATTTTTTCAGAGTTGGAATTCATTAGGATGTACAATGAACAAATGCTCTACATAGAAAACAACTAGACTGGGCTTAAATTGAGGATGCTGTTGTGGTGTTTTATATGTATATATCACAACACATTTAAAACAAAACATCTAGCCATATGGGAAAAATTGATTGTCCACTGGGCCATTTTTCTCCTTAACTTTTAGCACTTTAAAAAACATTTCCCCCACACACTTTTGACTATAAGGGTGGTATATGCAAGCTCTGGCATGTTTTGAAAATGTTGGAAACTGTGAAGAAAACATTAAAATTTATCAAGTAGTATACAACCCCATGAAACTGCCAACATTTTGGTGTATTTTTTATTATCTTTTATTTTATATTTATCCCTTTCCCTCCCATTCTTAAGTCTTGTCTTAGTGCATGTACGTATTTTAGTTTTCATTTGTAGCAGTGTTCACAATCTCATGGCATGTATTTGGAAAATTTTATTTAAATTTAGTTTTAATATACACTGTTGTGTTTATGAATTTCCTAATGTTACATATGTACTTTTTCTCCCAATTCTGCCCTACTATAGCATTGTGATAAGCTTTTTTCTTTGCAACATTGTTAAATTTAATTCTTATTATTTTCTGAGAATACAGTTCTTGAAGCATTGTCAGTGTCCAAAGCCTTTTAAAGCTTTTTTATTTGTATTACTTATCTTTCCTCTAGAAAGACTGAGTAATTGTTCACTCCCACCAGCATTTTTTGAGAATAATTCTCTAGTATACCATTTCGGGCGCTGAGAATTAGCCATATTAATAGCTCAGCCTGTAATAATAGGTTAAGAGAAAAATATTTCCTGTTATGGTTTTTGTGATTGCTGGGGAGATTAACTTTATTGTATATTCATATATCTTTCATATTTCTTTTGTGAGTTTCCTTTTTACATTTTTTGACCATTTTTCTACTAGTGTGTCCTATTGATCTCTAAGTACTCTTTATAAAATGTGGCAAAATTTCTTTCCCTACATGTTGCAAAATTTTCCCTCATTGTGTCTTTTATTTTGTTATTTTATTTTTATAGTAGTTTAACATTTTTGTGTAGTCAATTCTGAATTTTTTTCTTTAGAATTTGTTTCTTTGCTTTTGTCTCTTTATAGATTTTCCCCAACTCAAGATTAGTTAAATATTCTCCTTATTGTTTTGTTGTCTGAGGACCTTTCCCCTGAAAAAGTTACTTATGTTCCACAATTTAGGGAAACCTGCTAACCAAAATCAGATACTAGATTGTTAAGGGATTGTGTAGGCCATAGTCAGGAGTCTAGTTTTTTGTTGTTCTTTGTTTTTCTTTTTTTAAATTTTCTGGTTGTTGTTTGTGTTTTTTGAAACTAGTGAGGGATTAAAGACAAGCTATAGCTCATACTGGGCATACTAGGATGGGTAGTAGATCCTAAGTAAAAGCCTTTTCAGTGTTTTCTCGTTTACCAGCTTTTGCCATTGGACGGGCATTTTATTTCCATTGATTGTTCTTTTTTTTTTTTTTTTGAGTTGGAGTCCCACTCTGTTGCCCAGGCTGGAGTGCAGAGGCACACTCAGGATTACCCCAGCGTTGATCTGCCATTGACTGCTCTTAAGCTTAAAAAAGAAAAAAAGATAGCTGTGCTCTGCAATATTATGTATGGATAATAGTAGCTAATTTATTTGAAACAATTATATCTTTAGCTCTAATGTCAAATAGAAAGAAAAGAG